ATCACTCCATTATCTTATGGTTTCTCTGTGCTTACACAGGTGGAACTTGCGCATGGTGGAAGAGGCCATTCTTCGTCTTTTGATCGTCCTCGCAGTTACAATGGAGGAACTTGCGCATGGTGGTACCAAGTTCCTACATTTTTCTGAAATGTGTGTGTAATTTAAATTGTGGCTGGATTAAAATGGATGTTCTCTAGGACCATATGCGCCGAGCTGGTGACGTCTGTTTCTCTGAAGTATTCCGTGATGGACGAGGTGTGTTACTCTTTATGTGTACTCTTTTTATTTTAGGTTATTTTCTTCACAGATTTATTATTAGTCTCATGTGTTTAGTTGCTTGATTCTGGTGGAAATAACTGATTCTTCAATTACAGTTATGATACTAGCTATTTACTTTTTTTGCTAGCGACTTGCATGGACTATATTTGTATAGGACTATATGTAGAGGTAAACACTTAAATGATACTGTCAGACTTTGTAAATGCATGGGCTGCAATCTAAATTATCTAAGTTGTTGATTATGTACATTTTTGTACCTGGGGGAACTAAAAGACTGAGGGGCATTATCTGTAGATTTCTCTCGAGTATGACAGTGTGTTTTCTTTGATTTTTCAAAGTGAGGGCATTTCTAGAATTTTTGAAAATGTGACACAAACGAAAAGGATGAATTCTCTTAAATATAGTGTATATATTATGAAAAAAAACATATATAACCCTATTTTTTGACCCTTGGAAAGTTAACATTTAGGAGACCTTTTGATGGTGTACTTGTAAGAAAGTTGTGTCCACATCCATGAATCAAACTCCTTCCCATATAACTGTTAGCAAGCTTTGTCCAGGGTATGGGAATTCCTGTTGGCAAGCTTTCTTTGTACACAGCCCTTGGAGGGATTCGACCAAATACTGTAAGCATGTTAATTACCTAATCTGTTATGTTTTTTTTAGTTCTAATAGCCTAAACAGTCCTTTGGCAGAGCTTTATGTTTTTTTCCATAAGAAATAAGACAACGGACATTTAAATTTATTCGCAGTGCTTACCCATCACGATTGATGTGGGCACGAACAATAAGCAATTGTTGAATGATGAGTTCTATATTGGGTTGCGGCACAAGCTTGCTACTTGTCAGGTACGGGATTCTATAGACACTAACTAGCATGCTATGTGGAATTTACAATAAGCATTAATTAGTATTACTAAATTGTTGCCTTGTACGTTTTGGAGTAGGAATATGCTGAATTACTACATGAATTCATGACTGCTGTCAAACAGAACTATGAGGATAAAGTACTTATTCAGGTTGGCCAAATTACCACGCATTACCGTACTTTTACCAAATTTAATTTTGTTTTTTCCCTTTATTGCTACAAGTTTATTTAACTAAAATTTTATGCATGCAGTTTGAGGATTTTTCAAACCATAATGCATTTGAATTGCTTGCAAAATATAGCACAAGTTATCTTCTCTTTAATGATGATATTCAGGTAAAGCAAGCATGTGGCTTTATGTTAGCTGTGTGATAAATTCCTTCTACCATTTTCAACTTAATAATTTTCTATTTGATTTTTGAACAAAATAACACTTATCTAATAAATTAAATCATTGCATGGAACAGCTTCTATTGTCCTGGCTGGGCTTGTTCCAGCACTAAACTTGGTTGGTGAAAAATTACCGGAACACACTTTTTGGTTTCTTGGTGCTGGCAAGGTCATCTTCTCCTTCTGCTACTTGTATAGTCTATTGATTATTTATTTATTTTGCTGAACTATTTTCAAGTACAAATTAGATAAAAAATATAGGGTTTAATATGAATTTAATCATCTTCCCGTATTTTTTTAAATAGAAAAACAAGGCAAGGTGACCTATTCATTGAAAAAATATTAAATTATTAAAAATTTACAAGAGGGATGCGAACATAACTTACAAAGTCCAATATCCAAAAGTTGATATAACAGTTATAACAGGAGGGGGAGCGGACAAATAGAATTCTTCATCATTACATGCCTGCATTTGTTGTGCTCTTTTATTTATGACCTATTAACATTTATATATAAATTTCAGTCTGGGACAGAGAAATTGAATCTCCAGGATTAATTGAAAAAGAACTTATAGATTCATTTACTCAAAACTCAGGAGGTGCAGCAAGAGATCAATTGCCTTGGCCGCATGCTTGGGCATTCAGGCTATCTTCTAGAAAACGAACTTTCGAGGTACTATTGAAGAAAGCCCATTCTTGAAGAAAGCAGCAGCTAACCTCTACCATTGTATTACTCGTCTCAAATGTAACATTAATCATCCAGTTTAGTAGCTTTAGTGACTCATCAAGTGGAGCATTTTTACTGAGAGCATGACTGAAAATGCATGTATAATGTTTGGACCCTTACATCACAGTGAAAGGAAATGCACAAATACAGAGCAAAACAGTGCATTGTTGGTAGATAACGTTTGTTTGACTTCTTAACTTGAACTTCTTTTACATTCTTATAAGATGTTGAATGTTTACATTATGTATATATGTTTTATCCATTACTTACATTCCATAATTTTATAATAAAACATTATAATTAAAATTATAATTTTTAAACAAAAAATGAAAACTTAACCACGTGCATTGCACGTGCAATCCAACTAGTAAATCTAAAACAAAAGGGTTCTAACCCACTGAATATCTAAAACAAGAGAAGAAAATATTATAAGAAAATAAAAGATAAAAAGAAAAGTTTACATTGCAAGAGTGCTCTAGCCTCTTGAAAATAAACATTCATCTTCATCTTCATCTTCATCATCAAATAAAGAGAAGAAAAGAAAAATATGAAGAGGTAAAAAAAAATCTTTTATTAATTGCATTAAATTTAAAATTTTCGGTAGGTCTTCTTAATTAATAGTACCCTCCTCTCCAAATAGAGTTTTTACAAAAATTTTTACCCTCAAACCCCTCACCCTCTATGTCTATTTATAGCCTACAATAATGAATGAGAATCTTGGATATTTCTTGGAGACTAAAAGTTAAGTCTCAGCCAGAAATCTATTTCTGTTGCGAACCAATCGGTTGCCCGACTGATTGGCTTACAACGGATTTGGATTTTTGTTGATTTCTTGACCTGATTTCTTCATAGATCCTTGAGCTTTCTTGGACTTTTTTTGTCTTCATATCTAGGCTTCAATAAATGGTAGAAAATCAGGGAGTTTGATTTTTTGGGTTTTTATTCATTAATTCTTCATTAACCTGTAAATTAAGATAAAACATATTATTAGTGGTATATTTATTTAAATAAATAGATAAAAATGGTATAAAATTATAATAAAAATATAAATATCAGGTGAGGTAAGGTTTAATAAGGTGCAATGAGAGGTATATCCTCTGTGATTCTTGTTTGGTTGGGAGGGAGTAAGGGGAGGTACATGGCTTTTTAATTTATTTTGCATCTTCTCTCTCCTCACCATTGTGTCCCTCCAAATTGGAGGAATTTTCTATCTTCACTTTCTATTTCATTTTATATTTTCTCTCTCATCATCTCACTTTACTCTACTTTACCTTACCATCTAAATACTCCCTACCAAAGACGATCTTAAAATTTGTCCCTTAGCTTATTCTATCTCTCTTCTTACCAAACGAAGTTATACGTAATCTTCCAACCGTTTAGATCACCATTCGTGAGAGCCATATTGTAACCTCTCAGCCATTCGAATCACCCGCGATGGGTTTATTGAATCTAAACTTAATAGATTAGGTAGGAAGATTCCTCACACGACATGATACATATTTTTGGGGCATAAATAAAAGAAGGATGGATTTTAAAAGAGCTCAAAAAGAGAGGGTTGTATTCATAAAATAGCGAGAGTGAGAATATCAACTCCCTCGTATGAAGGGGAGGGAAACAGCAAATTGTGGTTGGAAAACATTTCTCCCTCCTTCGATCCTTCATTTCCTCTCCCCTCTTTCTCCCTCCTCTGCTTTCTTTTCCTTTTCTCAGATGAGAAATTGAAAGAATTAGGGTTAGGGCTAGGATTTATACGAGAGAGAATGGGGACATGGCGAAAGGCCTATGGAGCTATCAAAGACTCCACCAAGGTCGGCCTCGCCAAGGTCAATAGCGAGTTCAAGGTTTGAATTTCTCCACCTCCTCGCTTAGTTTCGTCATTTTCCGATCCCTTTGATTCTTGATCTGGCATGCGTTTGATCTTTCTTCGCGATAGGATTTAGACATTGCGATCGTCAAGGCGACGAACCACGTGGAATGCCCTCCCAAGGAACGCCATGTCAGAAGTGAGCACATTTCTGTATTATTTTGGTCTAATTCGGGGAATTTGGCTTCGACTCTTATCGATTTTGAAGAGACTGCACTCAATTTTGGTTTTTGTAATGTGGGATCGGGTAGTTCGATGTAAACTTGCTGTTTATTTTTGGATTCGCTCAAAATTTTTTTAGAAATTAGGAATTTTTTTTCTGACATGCTGAAATTTTTTAACAAAATTAAAGCGTTTCATTTGGTTGACGGAACCATTTTCAGATTTGTGTAATGTTAGAGAGTTGTTTGCTTTTTTTTATGCACCTTTTGTTGATTGATTAAAGATCGCCTGCCAGTTGGAGCTTAAGCAATAGAGTTTCTATCAGTGCGCTTTTAACAATGAAGTTTTAATTTCCTTTTTATGCTAAATCTGTTGTTTCTAGAAATCTTTGCTGCTGTATCTGTATCTCGACCGCGTGCTGATGTGGCTTATTGCATATATGCACTTGCAAGACGACTGGCCAAGACTCATAATTGGACGGTAAATTTCTTCTTTCTGTTTATGTGTCATTATTGTGCTGAAATTTTTTCATTGCGACTTCGGAAGGCATAGCCGACTCATCAATCAGAAGAAAAAAATGTTCCTTCTCTATTCTGCATTTTATGTCAAAATTGAGTTTATGATTAATTTACATAGTTATTTTGCTTCCTGGATGACTGCCGACATTATTGTGATAAATTCTTCCCAATAAGTTTTGGATTTTCTCTTATACCAAACTTGATTTCTTTTCAGGGATGTTGAGCCTGTTTATCTTGTATATTAATAATATTTATGTACCAAGGCTTTGATTTAGCTATATGGTGCAAAGACCACCTTCTTGTTAGTGGCTCCTATGGTAGAGCCCAGTAAAAATATTTACTGTTTTCCCTAAATTTTCGTAAGTAACTGAAGGAAAATCAAATACGGAAGTATGTCATTGAATCCTTAGTTGGAATTTTTGGTAGCTTTTAATGAGATGTTTGATATTTCTCTATTTTTTAAAACTGGGCCTCAATGTCTAGCTACGCTTTTATCCAGTGATAAAGGAAAAGTGGATGATGTCGTATGTGAAAGTCTCATTCTATTAATATTTTTTCTTATTATTTAAGAGAGGTTCTTGTATGAATATGAGAGAATGCTTATTGCGCAGTGTTACCATAAGGGTCGAGGCAGACAAGAACCAGTTTTTTATAATTTGTTTGTTAGGTTCTCCTTTGTGTAGGGGAATATGGCCAACAGTTTGAGCAATTCATTCATTAGGTTTTTAGAGTCTAACACATAGCCCCAGCCTATGTTGAATATTCCTCCATTTGGTGTTTTTTTTTTTGTCTTTCAACTCTTGTTAAGTTTCATTGTCATAAGCTTGAAACAAATATAGGACATCTTATCTGCCATTCTCTAACTATACCATGTCATTTTAAGTTTGTCATTCGTGGTAGTATTTTTTAATAATTTTATCCAAACTCAGTTGACTGGGAAACTCTACTCTGTATTTCCAAAGTTTGCATTGGAAAGGTGGAAAACTGGGACAAAAACACTTAAAATCTAGATGATTGTCAGGCAATATATATTTTGACGTTTTTACTAAAAAATGTTCTCATTTATATTGTTGAATATTACCTGTCAACTCTCTCAAATTTTGTCTTTGTGCCGGCAAAAATTGGTCATCATCTCAAGGAGAGAAAAAAGATGTGAACTTGAATTGAATTCAGTTGTATGAATAACTCTAAATTGATGGTTAATTCATGTTCAGATATGTGCGATAGCCAATAAAATCAAGCCTCTAATACAACATAACATTTCTTATTATAGTTATCTTCTGAAGCTGCGAAATTATATTCTACCGAGATATTCTTATAATAAATTAAACATAATCAGTAAATCCTAAGCTGCATGGAGTATTGGTCTATAATATTTACTTCTGTAAAGCTCTTGAAGGTTGATAGCTACTAAGATCCATCTGGTCTGATGTTGTTGCGGGTTGACCCTGTTCAGATCCTCCCAGCCAAATAATTAAATTTATATGAAATTCACAGGTTGCGTTGAAAACATTGATAGTTATTCACAGGACATTAAGAGAGGGTGATCCAACATTCAGGGAGGAGATGTTGAACTATTCTCATAAAGGACACGTACTACAGATATCTAATTTTAAGGATGATTCAAGCCCTCTTGGTAAGTGATGTGCACAAGATGCCACGAATACAGTCACTTTTTTATATGTGCAGTTGAAAATAGTAGTAAATTACGACAGCAGAATTTTTATTCTATTGTTTCTCGGACTTTTACATTTTTCTTGCTCTAGCTTGGGATTGCTCTGCATGGGTTCGTACATACGCACTGTTTCTAGAGGAACGACTCGAGTGCTTCAGAGTATTGAGATATGATATTGAAGCAGAGCGTTTATTGAAAAATCCACAGGGGGCCACCAAGGTGTCTTGATTGCTTTAATGTTTGTGCAATTTTATACGGAATCTGAATTTCTTCTGGATATCTATTTCTTTTGAGAAAGCTGATTTATCTATTTGTTGGTGATAACTTTTCCAGGGTCATAGTAGAACAAGGACTTTGTGTTGTCCAGATCTGCTGGAGCAGTTGCCTGCTTTACAGCAGCTGTTGTTTCGCCTGGTAAACTGCCAGGTATTGATTCATTTTAAGCCACCACTACTAATCTAGTTACTTTTTTTTCCATGCAAAAGAAGAGTTTGATAACTATCACATTAGATGCTCTTATTTTTTTAATCAGTATATATGTTTTTTTTAACTAACTGTAGCCTGAAGGAGGAGCATGTGGAAACTATCTTATACAATATGCACTAGCTCTGGTATGGACTTATGTACTTGTTATTTCTTTATGGAACATTTAGATTTTGTTCACTGTGTCAGATATATAAGAAGATACGTGTACTTGGAAGAAAAAGAACGCATGCATAACCATGTTGTTTGATTTCTGATATAATATGAGTAGGTTGAATCTATTGACAAAATGACTATAAAATCACAAATAGTGGTTCCAAACAACCTTTATTACTGGACCTATTCATGTGATTCCAAAATTTTTATCAGCCCTCGCCATTGCTTAGTCGCCTTTGATGCTCTTCTCTTTAAGCCCAAGTGGCAATCAGCCCACCTTTTTATTTTGTTACCTCTATGTCAAGAATATGAAAATTGAATGTCAAAAAAAGGAACTTTGTGAGGATAAAAACCAAAAAAGGCATATTTTTCTTGTTCTCTTTTTCCTTGGCCCCTGCCTCGCAAGGTCTATTCTACTGTCAAACTTTATCATTCATCAGTGTCTAATATGTAAACTTCTGCCCAATTCATTAACTTATATCAGTCCATCTTGTGTAATTCTGAGCGTACCCATTTCTTTTTTTTCCTTTGTGTATGTTCTACTATTGACCCTTCATAAACTAGATACTGAATTATTTTACTAACATCGCTGTAATAGTGCATTAATACAATACATAAGTTGCCACTTATTTGGCACAGATAAAAATTGAAGCCAACTCACTTCTTTTTTGTTCATTATTCAGATCCTAAAAGAAAGCTTCAAAATCTACTGTGCAATTAATGATGGGATTATCAATCTTGTTGATATGGTAGTGTTCTATTAAACATAGCTTGTTGTTAGCTCAGACCCCCTCACCATCCAGTTTTGCTGTTAACCTTTACAATTTACTACAGTTTTTCGAGATGTCAAAATTTGATGCCATTAAAGCTCTTGAAATATATAAAAGAGCTGGACAGCAGGTACTGATTCTTAGCCATGTCATGCTTTTTATGGTGGAAAAATTTTCTTAAAGGAATTTGATTTTATCATCCGATTAACTGGAGTTTAAAGTGAAATTGAATTGGTCTTTTTTCCCCCTTGACAGGCTGAAAATCTTGCTGAGTTCTATGAATTCTGCAAGGCTTTGGACCTTGCCAGGAATTTTCAATTTCCCACTCTAAGACAGGTTTGCTTTTGATTCACCTCATATTTATTTGGCTTTTTATATGTTGTGCTGCGTTACCTAGGGTAATTTGTTCTGTGTTTGCTCATTGATTCATCTTCTTTCTAGCCACCTCCATCATTTCTTGCAACAATGGAAGAATACATTAAAGAAGCACCTAAAGCCGGTTCAAGTAAGAATCTGGTGAGTATTCACTCTCGCGGACTCACACGCGCACACACCAAAAAGAGGTGACTATTCTAGAGACAACAATATTTTAGGAATTGGAAGTTCATAATTTTTGACTGTATCCTTGTCCTTGATTTTAGTGCTATAAATAACAAGAAACAATTCTTCTATCAAAAATCTCCCAATAATATAAATTTTATATGTTCGAAGAATAGAGTTCCTTAATCAGCACCTAAAGGAGTTGGATAGTCTAACCAAATATTTGTGAATTAGTTTAGCATGTTATATAGAGAAGTAAATTAAGTTCTGACATGTAACTTTTTTCCTTCATTGCTGACATGTAACTTTTTTCCTTCATTGCTTCATAAAATTTTAAGTTGTTCTTTGTTATTTATCAACATTGACTCCACTTTGTTGAGGGCGATGGCCGTTATCTGTTGAGGAAGTTTTTGTCGAGAATGATTTCACCTGAAATGACGTGGTAAATTGTCTCCATCATCCTTCCCACAAATTAAACGAAGGACATTGAAATTCTGTCCAACTTTTACGATTGTTGGAAATTAATTTTGCCCGAATGCATGGGACAGGGACAAGTGATGTCTCACCTCTATTACCTTGATTTAGTACATAATCCTAAGAAATGGGGATGCCATGTGACATCTTTTCCCATATTTAATCCCATTATATTTGGGTCCAAAACAAATGCAATTATATCCCTCCCTTCCTTAAAACACACACAATGACGACAGAACCCAAAAAGAAAAGAAAAGAAAATCTAGTTACACCTGTGCCCGCATGATACTATAACATGGAGCTTGCTATCTTTTTGTTTTGGAGAATTAGGATCTCCTGTTTGGAACCTCCTCCAGAATATGAGTACTATATTGGTTGACCATAATGTTAAATATAATAAAGTGACAAATATTTACAAAAAAACATTAGGTATAATTTTATGTATTCATGAATGGGCATAAGTGAAAGAGAGAGCAGAGGGAGGCAAATATGTCACATCTTAAAATTATGAGTGCTTGTAGATATATAGATATTATGTGGAAGGGGACCTTTTGTACCTTGCTATAATTTTATTATATTAATCGAATTTGTATTTATGTAAATATTTTAATACCAGGAATATGAGGAGAAAAACCTACTGACCTACAAAGAAGAAGAAGCAGAAGCTCCTCCAGAGGAACCCACACCAGAAGAGGAACCACCAACCACAGAGGCTGAAGAACCTCATCAACCAGAACCAGAACCAGAACCAGAACCAGAACCAGAACCCATAACTACAGGAGACTTATTGGTGATTTTTTATCTCCTGTTTACATTGTGTGTTTTTTGGTTATTTTACTTTTTCTATGGTTGTATTGATCTTCTCCATAATCATATAGGGTCTGGATGCAGAAATAAATCCTGCCGCTGCAGAAATTGAGCAGAATAATGCGTTGGCTTTAGCCATCTTGCAACCTGGTATTCCATTGCCATGCTTGATTTTTGGCCCTTTATTGGGTTTTGTTCTTATGATATTATCAATCAACTGACCTTTATTGGGTTCAACTTGACTTTCGATCAACAGGCTGGTCTTAAATATCTTCATACTGAAATCCTCAGATCTGCCATCTCTCTGGTTTCTTTAAGACTACACTTGTAAAATTTTAGGATCGATCTTTATATCCCTTTAAAGTAGAAGCGGATTGTTGTGGAACCTATAAGTTTCTTGAGAAGATGTCCAGAGTTGGATAACAAGTTGATGACATCTGGATATTTCCAACCTCATAAGCAAATCATGAATATAATCACTTGTATGAATTTTGGTTTTAGTTATTTTATGATGATATAAAACGCTATCCATATAATATGTATCTAGTTGGATAAAGGTGCCGTTGTAGATATGAAGCCTGCCCTTAATTTTGTCTGGTTCATCCGTTCAGGTTCTTACTGATCCAGGCTGGAAACTCAAAACATGTTATTTTATGGGCTGTTTTCATTCTGGATATGTTCTACACTTTGTGGACTAATATCTAAGTAGAATAGTGTCTATCATTATTGGTAGATTTATTATGCACTTTATCATTGTCACAACTGATTATTTTATATTTAATAATTTGTTTGTAGGAGAGGGTGTAAAGCAACCAACATCTATGGACTTGATATGTGGTGGTTCAGGATGGGAATTGGCGCTTGTGACTACTCCAAGCAGCAATTCCAGCCATCATGCCGTTGATAGCAAACTGGTTTGAACTTACCTTGCTCTATTTGACCTTTTGCTCTTCAATGGAACTTACTTTTCATGTTCTTGAGAAATCTAACATTCACGACATATCTATCATTTTTTCAAACATAATTTCTATGTATTCTTCAAATCCTCTTTCTACTGATCAGTAACCTACCTGTAGAATATAAATTCACTTTGTCTCTGTGTCATGCTCTTTTGTTTGAATTCATGATATCATCATCCAAGTCTTTCTCTGAATGCTTCTTGAGTCAAGCTTTAAAAAGATCCTGTTCAAGCTTAACTGTATTTTGTTACTGGTTGACGCAAATGCCTGGTAATTGACAATAATAGGTGAATAATAGTTCCTCATTTGGCAGAGAGCAAGATACTAAAAGCAGAAAAAGCTGTGTTCTATAACCCACTGGTCATTGATTTCTTTTCCATATGAAGAATATAGACTGAACAAAAGAACCAAAATGAAACATATTCTATAGCTTCTTCTTCACCGTGGTTAAACCTTTTTTGAAGGATCGTCATTGGAGTGATTATATTTCTCGTCTGTTTGCTATGTACAAGTAACCTTTTGACACTGGAGGCAAATATATACCTTAAATTGCGGAAGCACAATTCTTTGGTGACCGTAACTCTAAAAGACTGCAACTCTTGTAATAAAAAGTTTAACAAACGCCTCTATTTAGCTTCCTCATTCAATTTCTTGATTCTGTCTTAGGCTGGAGGTTTCGACAAGCTGTTGCTCGACAGTCTCTACGAAGATACGGCGAGGCAACAACAAATTGCTTCAGTAGGATACTATGGCGGTGCAGAAACTGCCAACCCGTTTAACACATCAGACCCGTTTGCAATGTCAAACGGTATAGCTCCTCCCCCCAGTGTTCAAATGGCTGTAATGGCACAACAGCAGCAACAATACTATCAGCAACAAATGCAGCAGCAATATTATCAGCAACAACAACAGCAGCAGTATTACCAACAGCATCAGTGTCAGCAGCAGAATATGATGATGATGGTGCCTTATGGCCAGCAACCTCAAAATCCTTCTCCTCAGCAAACAGCAGGATTATCTGCTGCTAACCCCTTCGGCGATCCTTTCTCTGGATTGACTGGATTGCCTCAGAGAGGTCCTCCTGCTCCTCATCCCAACCCAAATTTTCTTTGATCCCCATGTCTTTGAAAGATGAAGGAGTGATGTGAGGTAAATTGAGGTAGTCTTTTTGTGTAGTTTTGGCTCAATTTTGAGTTTATTATCAGGTCAGTTTTTCTTCTGTATTGGATAAATACTGTAACATATTTAAGATTAATATTTATTCTTTATTCTTTCAAATACATCGATCTCTATGCTGCACTCTCCACGTTTTTCACGTATTGACTTGTTCAGTACGAGATTTTTTCAGAAAAGAAACTGAAGAATTCCGCATGGATTTTGACTGTAAATTTTACCAGCCAGCTGTCGATCTTATAAATAACTCGGAGACTGGCTTTTCTACATGAACAAGAGTTTATCATCAAGGAGAACAAAATTGTTTGATGGAGCAAACTTCAGATATTTCACAGTCAATATAGAGTATAGATGAGATGATACCCATGAAGGTACCAAATTGATTGACTTTTTTTTAATGAATAATGGAGCTTCATTAATTAAAGGAAAAATCAAGCAAAGTATAATGACTAGTAACATAGGAGAGATGATCCCTCCTCCTCCAAGTAATAGGCTCGGCAAGAGATAAACTCATTGGCGCTAGACAACGTGTTACAAAATTTCCTTGCCTCAAAATTGGACAAATTTTCGAAACAGTCCTATTTGGACTTTTATTTGCAAAAAACGACCGGTTTCTTAGTTAATTAGAAAAACTGACCTGGTTTCAGCCCTGTCGCTGAAACCAGGTCGGTTTCTGAAATTTTTTTTCAACTCCCATGAAGTTTAGCATATTTTTAAACTTCACGGGAGTTGAACTCCTGTGAAGTTTAATTTCTTCAAAAATCTTCACGGGAGTTCAACTCCCGTGAAGATTTACATAAACAACAGGCTTCACGGGAGTTGAACTCCCGTGGAGTTATAGGCCAAATTTCCCAAAGAATCGTTCTCTGGGAAATTTAGACTACAACTCCACGGGAGTTGAACAAACGTGAAGTTGCAGGTTCAAATATGCTTGAAGATGCAGCTCCGAAATCGAGTGCTTTGCTATTCAATCCCGTCAATTGCAGTGCCGTACAGGATCGTACATGATATATGATTATTAAGCTCTTGAATAATCTCTAAAGCATCATTCTCCACCATGACACCTTGAAATCCAATCCCGAAGCATATGCTGAAAACAGTAGACAAAAGAAGTAAAACCTATAACCGTTATCGTATCTGATATATGATGGACGTCAAGACAATGAAACACGTTGTGCCCTGTGCATGAAGAACCTAATGGTTACATCATGGTATGATTAGGCTCTGTTGGATTTAAATCTAATTAAATCTATTTGTGGGCACATATGATTAATCAATGTGTATTACTATCTTTAAGGATAACCCACTTAAAGTGATCAATCAATTTGGGTTAATAGGTATTTAAATAAATCATGGGAGTTATATGTGCAGATACCAGGTTGTAATTGTAATTTGATGAGGGGCCAAATTACAAATGTACAACACCTATATATAAGGGGTTATGGTCCCTAATCTAGGGTTAACCACTCTCATTCTCTTATCCCCATCTAAAGAGATTCATAAGAGAGAAACCCTAAGGTTAGAAGATCATCAAAACCCTAATCAAGTTTTCTTCAATGGATTCAGGTATATGCTTCCGCACCTTTTGATTCTTGTTAATCTCTTTGAATTCAATCATGGCTTTATGGTTTTAGATCTCAAGTTTTTATTAGATCTAACAAGTGGTATCAGAGCCACCATTGATTTGTTCTAAGAGATTAAGATTAAAATTAGGGTTCTTTGATCTTAATTTGTGTTTGATTCGGATCCGTTCACGGATGAACAGTAAAGTTTCTTATTTTCGGATGAACAGTAACCGTTTTATTTTCGGTGAACAGTAATTTTTTTATTTACGGGCGAACAACAAAAAAATATATTTTCGGATGAACAGTAAAGATTTTTATTTTTGGATGAATAGTAAAATTCTCATGTTGTTTGGGTTTTCTTTCGATTTTTGGATCTGTAGCATTTATGAACTCTAAAGTTCATTCCTTTTGTGTTTGATTCAATTTTTGAGGTTTGGATCTAAATGATTTGAGTTCAAAAAAAAACGACAGAAAGATAATTATCTTTTTTTGGGATTTTTTGATTTGTCGTCAATCTCCAAAAAACTCCTCGTCGGAGTTGATTCAGCGGCGGCGGTTTCAGATTAAACCCTCAAGGGGTTCGTGCGCGTGAAAACGTGCGGAAATTAAGGAGGTGGTTACCTCAAATTAAGGAGGTGGTTACCTCAAATTAAGGGAGGTGGTTACCTTAATTTAAGGAGGTGGTTACCTCAAATTAAGGAGGTGGTTACCTCAATTTTTGGCAAGGCTTGAAAGCTTCAAACGAACCTTGAGCTCGTTCTCAAACGAACCCTGAGTTCGTTCTCAAACGAACCCACGTTCGTTCTCTAATGAAACATGCGTTCGTCGAACGTTGCGTTCGTTGAACGTTGCGTTCATTCTCAGGTCGAACATCACGTTCATTTTCAGTCGAACCTCGCATTCGTGCTTCAGTCGAACCTCGCGTTCGTGCTTCAGTCGAACCTCGCGTTTGTGCTTCAGTCGAACCTCGCGTTCGTCCTTCAGTCGAACCTCGCGTTCGTCCTTCAGTCGAACCTCGCGTTCGTACTTCAGTCGAACCTCGCGTTCATTTTTTTTAACGAACCTCGCGTTCGTTCTCAAGTTGAACCTCGCGTTCATTTTTGTTTTTGGAAATTCAGTTGATTTAAATTTTTAATTTAAATCTAATTCGGTTTTTAATCAATTATTTAATTCAAATATTATGACACTAAGGTATTAAGGTTGTCTCTCACTCCAATTGATTAATTGAAACAAGAAGTTGCCAAAGTAACCTCTCTTGTGTAGATTGTTCATGAGGAATGTGAGATGTTTGTGTGTATGCTTTCGTGTAAATATTTAATCGGCCCAAAGGAAGGTTAATATTTATTTAGACTGTATACACATCTGCGATGATAAGCGTGTGACAATTATAAGGTTTACATGTGAATAATGAATCGATCCAAAGATAGTTTCATTATTTGACATGAGTTATTGTCAATGTTTGATCATTGCAACAAGGTATCACTTACAAGTTAATATTACTGTCCAAAGACTTGATATTAATGTTGTGCCGGTATCTTGGATGGGGATTGTCATTATTTGAATTTTATTGATTATGGTTATTGATGTGAGCATTTTTGTTTTATTTCAGCTAATGCATCTGCTGCAACAATTTCTGCTAACATCAACTCAATTCCCATGCTAAATGGGACAAACTTCAAGGTTTGGAAAGAGAACATATTAATTGTTCTTGGCTGCATGGATCTTGACTATGCATTAAGAACTGAACAACCCCAACCTCTCAATGCGGATAGCACTCCTGATGCAAAGAAGGAGCATGAGAAGTGGGAGCGTTCAAATCGCATGAGTCTTATGATCATTAAGCGCGGCGTTCCGGAAGCCTTCAGGGGCATAGAATCCGAAGGGATTACTAAGGCTAAAGATTTCCTTGCCGAAATTGAGAAGCGTTTTGCGAAAAACGATAAGGTAGAAACAAGCACGCTTTTAGCTCGCTTGATTTCAATGAAGTATAAGGGCAAAGGAAATATCAGGGAGTACATTATGGAAATGTCTCATATTGCTTCAAAGCTTAAGGCACTTAAACTCGATCTTTGTGACGAGTTATTAGTGCATCTGGTTTTGTTGTCTCTTCCTGCACAATTCAATCAGTTTAAGGTCAGTTATAACTGTCAAAAGGAGAAATGGAATCTAAATGAGCTCATTTCATACTGTGTGCAAGAAGAAGACAGGTTGAAGCAAGATAAGACTGAAAGTGCTCATTTGGTCTATGCCTCTAAGGATAAGGGCAAGAAAAGAAAGAATGATAATGAAGCTGATAAGGGTCATGTTCAGAAGAAACAACATAAGGATGGTCAGGGTTGTTTCTTCTACAACAAGTCTGGACACGTAAAGAAGGATTGTACCAAATATCACGCCTGGCGTGCTAAGAAGGGGCTGCCTGAGCTACCGGAAGCCAAGTGATGGTGAAAGATACATCTTTGTGGGCGATGGTCAGTCAGTAGATGTGGAAGCAATTGGGCACTTTAGGTTGCTGTTAGGAACTGGTTCATATTTGGATTTAAAAGATACTTTTGTAGTACCGTCTTTTAGACGGAATTTGATTTCAGTTTATGTATTGGACAAATCAGGTTACTCTTTTCATTTGGAAACAATCAATTTAATTTATCTTTTAATTCAATTATTGTAGGAACTGGTTACTTGAGTACTTGTGACAACCTATATTTGCTTGATACAATTGCTTCTTATAATGAATCCTTGCATGTGGAATCACGTGGTACTAAATGTAAATTAAATAAGAAGTATGATATCTTATTCTTCTTTACCAAAGTCTCTCTGGGGAGAAGCACTAAAGACAGCAGCTTACATTCTGAATAGAGTACCAAGTAAAGCAGTTGCTAAAATACCTTATGAACTTTGGACTGGTCGAAAGCCCAGTTTAAAGCATTTACATATTTGGGGATGTCCACCTGAGGTAAGGTCTTATAGGCCAAATAAAAAGAAATTGGACTCCAAAACATTTAGCAGCTACTTTATTAGGTACTCTGAACGCTCTAGGGGCTATAAGTTTTATGATCCCACACTAAGGATTATTTTTAAGACGGGAACAACAACATTCTTTGAGGATGTTGAGTTTTGGGGGAGAAATAAGGTTAGAAACATTAGTTTTGAGGAGGAATTGGCTTCAGATCCAATCCATACAGTTACTTTTGACAATATTCAGGTTCCTATACATGTTGTTGCTCAAGAAGTAAATCCGGAACCTCAAGATGATAATGTTGAACAACTCCCTGTTCCAGAAGATTTGAGATCAATTCAATGTATATATGTATATATATATATATATATATATATATATAAGAGCAAATGCACAAATTATGCTCGATGTATAAATCTGGA